TATAACGAGTATTCATCATGTGTGGTTACATGTAATTTTAATATTCATACAAACACACATTTTATGTCTGTAGTTCTCAAAATCCATATACTGTATATTGCTGAAATGAAAATCTATAGGTTTAACAAATGATTAATTGATTAACCATTAAGATCTGTTGGATTAAATAAAGGACAAAAGTATTAAACTGAACAAAAAGAGATGCGAATCAAAAGTTTGATAGTAAGAGCTTTATGAAAGGTGTAATGGCTAATTTTACATTTACATTTATATATGTTTCTTTTCTTTCATATACGATCTTTATTTTCTTTTGTATGTTTTCTTTTATTTCATTAAGATGTGATAGATGTGTGTGCAACTTTTACTAACGTTGGAAAAGATGTATTCATAAGCATTTAAAGGAAAATTTTCATAGCATCTAACATATACTCATAAGCATTTAAAGGAAGATGTTCATGTAATCCAAAGGGCATTATTAAAGATATAACAAGCTGGTAGAAACGCATAAGTTAGAGTAAGCTTAAGGTATAACTAAACTGTTAGAAATGCATAAGTAATGTAAGCTTAGTGTGAGGACATATTGTTCTGTGTTTAACAAAGAAGCAAGCAGCATGGAAACATTTTACTAGCTCATTGTATTTCAAGTGTGAATTGTATGTGTGCAGGGTTTTGATCAAACAAGAGATAAAGCAGAAAGGTGTAAGGTCGAACACTAGTTGCGACCGAGAGCTGAGTTGGAGTGTGAAGTCGAGCGGTACTTGACCCACAGGAAACTAACACAAACGTCATTGTGCTGTCTGAACTGAATATATGGTTTACAAGAATAGTTAAGAGCAGCACCAACAGGTTTCCTTGCTAGACGGCATAGGGGACAATCTGCTGCAAACCAGACATAGCCTGCATGGTTTCCTGGGTTTTCAGGTATATAAGGATGGCGAGAAGGACTAGCCTTCGCCTTCACATGTAGACATTGTTCTGTATGTTGAATGCCAATTTCGGAATTGTTTTCTTGCAAGAAAATAAACTTTTGATAAGGTTTCCACTTGTATTCTTAAGGCCCTTTCACACCGGACGCGTAACGGAAAAGCGAAACGGAAAAGCGAATAGTTCGCGTGAGAATAGTTCGCGTCAAAACCATTCACATCAGCCGCGACGCGAATTTGCGACGTTCAGAACTTCAACATTCCAAAACATTCGCGCCGAGGAAAGCAGACCTGATTTTCATCAGAAAACGTAGGCTACTCTATACTTATTATTATAGCCTACTAGGTGAATAAATATAGATTTTATATTAGATGTCTTTTTGCAGTGATGTTAACATGATGCTTTAATAGGCTTTATAAAAAAAAAATATCCCAATCTCTAAATAGCACATTTTCAAATAAGCACATATAAGTCCATTAGGAAAGATAAAGATGAATGCGTTCTTACCGGATTCGATCAGTGCATTTTGAATTTATATTGTTTGTCTGATGATCTGGCAGCTTTGATAGGGCCTTCTTTTTAATTATGTACATGTCAGTAACTACTGGCAGGTGTAGCTCACTTTCACCAGTTCACTTTAGGTCCACAGTTGCCTGGTTCCTTGTCCATGCAGCATTCATCAGAGCAAACACTCTCTCCACGAAGAGTTTGTTTGTTTGTGATGGCTCCATTAATGTCTGTGCTGTGCGTTTTCTATGTTTTCTTATTACATTTTTTTAAATTGTAGAATTGTTATTTAAAGGACGATTAAAAGGATGCAGACAAAAAAAAAATGCGGTATAGTGCTATGACGTGGAACAGCTTCTTCATCACCATCATTATCATCCAGTGAAGACAAGCTTTTCATTTTATTTAAAAGCAGAAACGAAGGTTTGGGGCACCCACAGAGCTACCGGAGCTAGAAACATATGGCAGAAGGTGAGCTGTCCCATTCATCAGGGGCTACGTTTACATGCAATCAAATAAACACTTTTAGTAAACGGATTGAAGCTCAAATAGACTGAAAAGCCTTGTAAACACCCGGTTGGGCTCGATACGAACGAACGAGCACAACGTCCCACCAGTCCTTGTTTCAGATTTTCATTCACAGACGACTCGACACACAAGCAATCAGAAGATCCGTCATTGCTGCGGTCACGTCACATTTGTTTCCTTGTATATGATTGGATGAAGCCTTTTCTGTCGACGCAGCAGTAAAAAAAAAAAAAAAAAAAAAAAAAAAAAAAAAAAATCGACCTTGAAGCGGAAAAAATAAAATTCGTTTTTTCGCCGCAGCAGATTCGCGTCCGGTGTGGAAGCACTCATTACACAAACAGCTGATCAAAAAATAAAACCATCGCGCGAATTATTCGCGCGTCAAAATCGCGTTCAGTGTAAAAGGGCCTTTCCTCCTATCTTTTCGAACAACAGAGAATTATTTCCACAACAAAGGCAGTTACTGTGAATGAAACAATAATGTAGATGAAACACTTATTTTGTGTTGTGAAAAGGATACTTTGTGATTGTGTGACTTGTACTAACACAGTTGAAAACATGATGAAATGTTTGAAAAAGGTGCACTTTTGATGATCTGTTGTGATATTAGCACTAAGAGTTTTGAAAATGTACACCGTACTTGTGAAAATAGTACCAAAGCGAATAAAAAAAACTGTGATGTGGAGCGTGCTTGAGCGTAAATGCTTTTGTTCTTTATATTTTTGTTTACATAATTGTTTAATGTTTGAAAACCTGAAGATATATAGTAAGCTTGCCCAATGTAAGCTTGTTCAGAAATGGTGACAAAAACATAAAGAAAAAAATTAAAACTTAACGTATTTCTTGTTAAACAACATTTTAATAAACGAATATTCGATTTTTATGAACCACAATATTTTTTTAAAATGCCCATCCCTGGTCTCTTCCACTCACCAAGGCTACATTTATTTGATCAAAAATACAGTAAATATTGTGTAACATTACTACAAATTAAAAGACCGGTTTTCATGTGAATTATTGGTGGGCAAGAGTGATCAAATACTTGTTCGTGACAGAAAACGATGACTTTAAAAAAATATATTTCTCTTTTTTTTTACTGATTGGTTATTGCTGTATTTGGGCCAGTTCCTGAGGTCTGATTGGTTATTGAGGTATTTGGATATTGGATAGTGACAATAAGTACTGTGGATAGTTCACCCAAACTGAAAATTACTGTGTGTGAAAAAAATTCAAGTTTACAGAGTTTTGGTGTCGGTACTACATTATATAATGTTGAATATCATGTACACTGATCAACTTTCAGAACAAATGTAAGTGTACCCGAGCTAGCCACAAGCTAGTTTTCATCGGCAATCCCCTTGTCAGATGTTATTACGCAATAGGCATCCTAAAATAGTAACTAGTTTTCTTATACACCACCTACCTTTGATTTCCACTGATGAACTGTAGTTCCCCAGGAAGCGCGAGTCAGTGCTGGGCGTGTAACACTCGTAACGGCCCTGATCATCTGGACGAAGCCTCTGGATTACCAGTCTGGCTTTATCGCCCGAGTCCCTCTCGATCCGAACCTCGCCCGCCTGCACGCGACCCTGGAACGGCGCGTACGGAAACCCAGCGTCTCGCGTGGACGCCACAGCGATCTGCCGACCCCCAGCGTCCTCCCGGTACAGGTACCACTCGAACTCCTGCGTCCGCGAGCCTTCGTATCCCGAAACTGTGCAGGGCAGAGACAGCGAGAAACCGGCGACCCGGTACAGCGGCCCGGCGGGAAGAGTGACCTCACGGCACACGCACCACTCGAACTCTAACACACAACCGAAAGAAACAGAGACAAGAAGTAAATAAGTGTGCCATGCGCAGTTTGAATATTAACCACTGCGATCAATACATGCAAAGCAGTAAATAGGTCACAAGATTCCCACTTAAATGAGGGGCACCATGACAACAGGGTTCTAATAGTTAATTAAAAGAATAAAAAAAATGTTTTAATTGAAATAAAATAAATAAGAGTTAACCTTAAAGCTGCATGAGACTGTTAGGTTGGGGCTCTGGTTAGTAGAATAAGTATAGTAGAAATTGGAAACGGCGTTTTAAACCTTATTTTGGGGCAAAGTCATCAAACTTTTTCAGCGATTTTTATTATATTTTACTGCTGTTTCTATACATGCAGTTTTGTCCCGGTGACCAGTGAAAGTGCCGTTCTGACTCTCTGCCCATTCATTTAGATAGAGCCTGGTCTTGTTAAGTCCGAAATAGCTGCCCGGAGGCGTTGCCAAGATGGCGGCCGAGGGCACGACTTGCCTGAAAGGACTTTGTGTTTATTCATGAATCATGCCCGCTCTGCGTAGTTCCCACGCACTCCGTGTGTGTGTGTGTTGTAATGCTTTTCTGAATAAAAGGGTCTACATAACAAACAGTAATCGCATTCTTGCAGACTACGCCCATGTTTACAACCTCTGATGTCACGACTGAACTCATCTTTGCATAGTAATTTTCATATGCAGACCTGAGATTATTTACACACCTAAAAGGAACCAAACCAGACTGAACCCGTATCCGTATAAAGCCTCCTGTCTCACCTTTTCATGCATGAATTTCTAAAGCCTCTAAATGATCAACATGATCTGATAAACCTGTCAATCTCCTCCAGTCCTTCTGTCTCTGATTGACAGTTTCTACTGTTTTAGCGAGTAAAAGTCTTTTAGTTTAATAATTGTACAAACATCCACTTTCAGCTCGTGATTAACGTGTCTTTCGGATCTGAAATCTTTACAGATTTTTATCTAGCAAACATAAGAATAACTTTGATATAATTAAAGGGATACTCCACTTTTTTGGGGGAAATAGGCTCATTTAATAACTCACCCAGAGTTAAAAGGTTGAGATTTACCGTTTTCGAATGTATTCAGCCAATTTTCTGATATTTAGAAGAATATCAGTAACCAGACAGTTTCTGGCCTCCATAATTGGAAAAAATATACTATGGAGGTCAATGAGACCAGAAACTGTCTGGTTTATATCAGAAAATTGGCTGAATACATTCGAAAAAGGTAAAACTCAACTGGGGGAGTTATAAAATGAGCCTATTTCCAAAAAAAGTGGAGTATCCCTTTAATATTTGAAATGGACTGAAAAGACATTCGATTATCTATGTTTCATAACTTAGAAAGATCATGAGTATCAAAAACAGGCTTTTTAGAAAGGTTGAATTGTTCATCTCTCAATCACCATTGTATTGCATTATATGTTTTAAAACTACAGAGCTTTCATCATAAACTAAGCATTATCTTACTAAGACATTGGCAGATATTGATATTTATATGATTTGCAAGTTATAAAGATCTCAGTGATTTACATTACAAGCATCTTCTTACTTTTTGTACACAGCATCTACAGCAAATTGTATATTTTTGCTTTGTTTTAGATTTAAAAATATACATTTTTGTTTTAGATTTTTCTAACAAGCTTTACACTGTTAAATTACATCTAAAGCATTTCTTAACTCATCTTTTTTTTTTTTAATCATTACTTTTAACTAATAAAATAGAAAGAGAATTTTAGATGTGATTTTGGATTTGACATGCAGGCAGCAAAAGCTAAACTTCTGAATCCAATGCAAAACTATTGCCACAGTTTATCAGCTCACTGTGTGACTCACTCAGATGTGTAAACTAGATCAGATAAACTAGGGTTATGTCAATGCGATTGAGTGTTGACATAAATATCACCTGTACTGTTTAAACACAACCTGACAAAACATGACAGGTTTCCCCTCATAAAAAATTACCATAAACTAGTTTATACCAATATTGCATAGTATTAGTCTCTGACAGCGCTTGACATGTCATGTTACTACAACTACTATGGCAATAGTATTAGTAACTTGGTACTTGTCTTGAAAACACTAATAACAGGAAAGAGCATTTCAATTTAGTAAGCTTCAGAATAATTTATTTTAAAGATGTATTTCTGGTTTAATGTTATGACAATAACTATAACTGCGGTTTTTTTTTAACTATATGGTAATTTCTGTAAGGGTTTTTTGGCTGGCATCTGACTGGCCATTCTGGCAAATCAGTCTAGTTTCGGTGACTCATGGGAAGTGACCACACACACACACACACACACACACACACACACACACACACTCCAATGATGACCAAAGAACTGAAGCTTTAAGCGGATCAGACACGTAATTAAAGCGCAACCAGAGCAGCAGGCCTGCCAGTGGAAATCCTGCACAGCTTATACCATACATTATGATGTCATTAATATGATGCTGAGTGGAAATGAAGAGATGTAGAAAATGTATTAAGCTCCTGTGATAATTCAGGGGCAATCAGTATAAAGTCTTTCAAATATCTGTATTGAAATTAACTGGAAATTGGTCTGGATGGTAATTCCAAAGTACACTAATGTATATGGTCGTAAATGACCATAACACAAATGTATTTACATACACCGAAAAATGACATGTAAGATTGTGGTTTTGATTCCCAGGAAATGCATGAACCTATAAAAATACCTTGAATGCACTGCGAGTCACTTTGGATAAAAGCATCTGCTAATTTTTTACATGTAAAAAAAAAAACGGTACAGGTAAATAGAAAAAAAAGATGGTAGTACTAGTACCATATCATGATACACTTATGTATATGTATGTGTATTACATTATAAAAAATAAACCAAAAACATTCAATATAGTTCTGAATGATTACCGTATTCTTCTACCGCGGTATTTGCACGCTACTCTAAAGTACTTCACGGTATACAACATTATATTTACCATGGTACTTACACTGAAATACCAGATTCACGTAACGTTACTAAATTATTTACGTGGAACATCAATATTAGTCCATGATATTCCCCAGTTGTGAATATTAAAAAATGCGCTCTAAGATGCAATTTCCATAATGATTGTATTGTCATTGGGCTTATATGGAGCAAATGGACATTAAACATGAGCAGGTTGTGGACTCACCCCACAGTAAAGCGATGAACGTGATCCACCACGGTGCCATTCTGCCTCCACAATCTCCACAATTCAGTCGCGTTTACACCGATTTACTCTGTCTGACACTGTAGTACAAACACATGTTTGTTAGTGTGTGATGTCCTCGGGCTAAAGCTAACGTTATATCGAATATCCATGTAGTCATTGACTAGATAAACTAGCACGCCATCAAACAAGCGCGAGCTGACCACAAACACGAGCTTTAAACCGCGGATTATATCCCACCACAGAGCGCGTGTTATTAATTCATCACTGCATCTGCGCAAACGTTTCGCTGTTATTCCTCTTTTAACATCGCAATCACATCTTCCAAACGATTTAATACATAAATTAGGCGGTTGACTGAAAGTAGTGCATCACGTCAGACACAGGCAGGCACAGACACTCAACGGTCTACCAGGGTCCACTCACTGTCCAGTCACGTGTCTCGGCGAGGGAGAACACAGCCAATCGGAGGTCAAAGCGAAGAGATTAATAGCTGTTAAATCAATGTTTAAATGTAGGCCAATCCCTCCCATGGCGCGAAAATTATAACGCCAACTTATTTAATATTATATATTAATCCCCATTTATTTATTTGTTTATCTATTCATTTACATTGTTTCTTTCTTTTATTCACCCTCGCGTCCTTAATATTTTAATTTACTAAACCTTACGTATTTTTCTTTACCTACTGTAGTTCCTTTATTACATGCATAGACAATATGCTTTGCTGACTCCTGCGTTCCTTCAGGAGGTGCTGGAAACCTCATAAAGACAAATCCTCATCTGAACCACATTCAAATCAATAAAATAATTGTATTACTAAATAATTAAACTAATGGATTGCAAGGTGGTACAAAGCGCTTCTAAAGTGGCAATTAGTTATATTTACAAAGACTGATTAAAGCTGCTCAGAAGTGGCATTAATGCATTTACACCGCAATTTTAATGTCAATGTTACACAATTTTGAAACGAAACGAAACAAAAATCCATTACTAACAACCAAAGAGAAATTTATCTTTATTACCAATATCATTTGATCCTAAAATAATGATATAATTTATATACAACTGAAATATTGAATTTATTTTTTTCTATCACTTTTGATATAAACCCAACTGGTTACCAAATACATATCTATGGCTCCACCTAGTGGAGAAACAATTATTTGCTCATTAAAGGACAAAAATTCAACCTCAGCTTTGTACAGTTTACAAAACTGTCTTCTGTCCCATGTTATTAAGACAGTATTTTTTTTAATTTAGTTAATGAAAAGATCTTTCTAAATCAAATGTAATGTGTGAATAGCCTAATTAAGTTTACTGAGTGCACACTGCACATAATTAATAATTTAAACACCCCTGCTGTGCCTAAGTATCCTATTTAACGTTTACCTTGGGGTAAATATATAAATGGTGGGGAAATCCCATTCACCTATATTAGAAAATGCATCGATCATAACCACGTCATTCTGTAGAAACTTTTTTGACCTACAAATAGACAGCAAAAGTGAACAACCAGACACTGAGCGACTACAACATCATAGTAACCTCATAGCAACGCTAAAAGCCAATCAGAAAACCCCAACAACTGCACAGCAACGTTAAAAACCAATCAGAACACCCAAACAACCGCACAGCAACGATAAAAACCAATCAGAACACTCCAAACACCGTTTAGAAACAGCTTCTGCAAGAATATAGCAACATCTTAGCCAATCACAACAACGCACTTGCAATGCTATTTTTGCACGAGGTTGTAGATTTTCTTCAGAAAATGTATAATTAATTTTTTATTGTTTATTTTATATATTTATGCTTGCAAGTAAAGTTTTTGTCGTTTCTTTCGTTCTCTTTTTCTCCATGTTTATGTGCAGCGCCCATGTCTCCTCAGTGGGGCAGCATTGTGTTTTATCATGATCTGCCTTCATAGAAAATGACTGCTAAACCATTTATTGTTGGCCATTATTTAATCTTACGACAACTATGTGGTGCTCAAATAGATATGCAAATCTTACCATGCTGAATTAAATAATTAAACGTTTAATTAAACATAATTCTTTAAAATCATTTGTAAGCTCCACTGAATCCCATTTTAAGTTATAATGTGGGTAATAGTTAATTTCGACATAGTCTATTCTACTAACTATAAATAACTTGTGAACTAGCAGTCATTAGAGTATTAGTAGACTGCTTAATATCTACTTTATTTTGAAGTATATGTCAACTTATTCTACTAACAGTCTCGTCTACTAGTCTAACGAGAGTTAGTTGACGGATAGTGGAGTAGCCTATCGAAATAAAGTGTAAGCATAATGTGTTTAATCATGCATGTGTGCATTAGCTAGAATGATAACAATTCTTTGCATTGAGCTCCTGTGTCCATAAACAATTTCTTCACTAACAGTGCCATACCATCTCATTTATCAAGCTTTAATCTGAGCATTTGATGAGCTGTTCACTGCCGTCTGAATTATTAATGTAATTGCCATTGCTGAATGACTTTACTATGAACCACCACTGCAGGCAATTTATTTCATCAAATCTCCATTGAGCTCAACACACACACGCATACACACGTTCTCTGCAGCCTTGGCCCCGTCTGTAGATTCGATTTTGTGGCTTTACCAGGAGCCAAAATCATCAGCAGATTCTGTGTATCTTATAAGAAGTCGAGTAAAGTTATATGAACAATTTTTTCCTTCCCCCAATATGCTGTGTTTCCTTTTTTGTGTGTGTTTTGATCCCGGCTCTTGTGGCGGGCCCTTCTGTGGTGAGGCGCGGGCTGGAGTGGCGCTGCCGTGTTATTTTTGGCGGCAGTGGCGGTTGGTGGCTCTCGAGATGGAGTGGATCATTCCGGATCCAAACCCAGGCTGTTTAAGGGAATTCTCATCTGTAATGATCAGCGTCATTATGGGCTCACACTAACTGCAGGACGAGCCCTGTGTTAATTTCAGCACGTCCCTCAACAACACACAATCTTGACATGAGGAGACAAATCTTCTTAAAGAGGAAACAGAACATCAATTTTGACTGGGTGGAATTGAAATATTTATCATTGATATAAAATTTGGTATATTTTCATATTAAATTTAGTTACAAATTTCTATGTAATACTACTAGTATTTTGTAGTGCTGTCAAATCGATTAATCGCGATTAATCGCATCTAACAGAATATCTGTGTATATATGTGTGTGTGTGTGTGTGTGTGTGTGTGCATATACATATATATATATATATATATATATATTTACAAACTTTTATGTTAGATCCGATTAATCGCGATTAATCGATTTTTACAGCACAAGTAATTTGTTGTGTGTAGTTTTTTATATATATACTGTATGTCTATATACAGTAGTTTTATGAATGTTTTGTTTCAGGATTAGAAATCATTATTTTAGTTCTTCAAGTTAAACTAAACAAATGTTTATAAAATGAATTTCTGTTTTTACAATTTATTTTATTTCAGTTTCTGTTTATTTTATTTCAAGCAAAAAAAAAAATGTTGTCTTATTAATGATTCTAGTTTTGGTTTTAGTTTACAATAGTGACAATAAAAAGAAAAGATTAGTCATAGTTTCAGGAAATAGTGTTTTACATTGACGTGTTATAAAACTGAACATTAAAAAGATACCTCTGACCTCCAGGGGTCAACGGATGGATGCATGGTTGAAAACCCTGGTTTAGTTCTTATTATACTCTTGGCACATTTTTTTAATGTTTGCATAAGTTAAACTTACTGTATAAAATAGAAGACTACAAATAGGCTCTCAGTGTTTCATCCCTGTGATGCGTTACGCCTCATGTTTTGTTTGTTGAACTAGAACCGTTTAACAGACTGAATGAAGATGGTCTCCTCACAAGCAAAGTATATTTTTGCAGTACCGACACTCAAATAAACACAAAGAGGAAGGCTTCCGACCAGCGTAACGCGGCACATACTAGGTCAAGCGTTGCAGTTGTTTAAAGTCAGTCTTGCTATTAGAAGCCAAACTGCTTTGTGCAGCGTTGAGCATTTTTCATCCTCCCATTACGTGCTGTAACATCATGTTAAAATGTCTCTCTAACCACTCTTGGCTTTAAATGAGAGAATGAGATGATTTCAGTTTATATATTTATTTTTGGTGGTGAACACGCGTAAATGCATGTAAAGTCTGCATGCTTGTGTGTGCGCGCAACAGCGTGCATGATGCCAAACAGTTGCGTCTGAGTGTGTGCATGTGTGTATCAGGTTATATGCATGAGGGAGGGCGCACACTTGTGTGTGTGCGTATGTGTGAGTGAGTTTGTGTGTTGTTAACCCACAAAGATATTTCAATTTCTGCTGGATATTAAAGAAGCATGCGGTGCCAGCGGGTGAGTTTAGGGGGGTGTTGTGGCCTCATGGTCAGGGCCCCTGCCGGACACACTGGCGCCTCTTTCTGGAGGACTTCAGAACCACCACACTCCTCCACCAGAACCCTGCCAACCCAAATCACTCACTTTAACATCCTTCCATTTCTCTCTCTCTCTCTCTCGCCCACTCTGAGGCTCGCTCGCTCTCTCTCTCTCTCTCTCGCCCACTCTGAGGCTCTCTCGAAAGCTATTTTCCTATCAAATTTTAATTTCTCTGAACATTTGTTTATGCAGTTTTCTTCTAATGCGCTTTCAGAAAATCCAAAGATTGCTAGTGCAATTGTAAAATATTATACCAATAAAGCAACCAACAACAAAATTAACTATGTTTTCGTATAGCTTGTGTGCTTAGATCAGAACCCTGTTCAACCTTTTATATTTGATGTGCACATTCTCATTTCTTCATTTTCAGTTCATGTTTATGACCTGAATGAGTCTGATAGCAGATTGCTTATTGTTTGCAGTGTAAATTAATTAAATGGGACTGTCACAATCATTACGAAAAATATATTTCAGTGTTAAAATAAAGATAATTGCGTCTTTTTACCTCACAATTGCGAGTTTAAATCTAGCAAATTGCGACATTTTATCTCAGAACTGCATGATACAAAGTCGCAATTAGAATTGCAAGTTTATTTCGTGCAATTCTGAAACAAAAAGTCGAAATTGCGAGATGTAAACTGAGATAAAAGTCTCAATTACCTATTTTTCTGTGGCGGAAACAATCTTCAAGTTTGAACAACTCTATAAATAACAATGATTTGAAATGATTTTAATGATTTAAAATCATTGGACAAGATTTTACTGACAATAAACGTTACAAAGTAATGATACTCAAGTCAACTTATATAAATAGCCTACAAAAGGAAAAAGAAAGTCAAATGTTCATTAAGTGAATAACAGAGGACATAGATGAGTGTAAAACAACAAGGAAGTATAAAACAGAATTATAAACTTAAGGAATTAAGAGTGGATGTCTATTTTGAAATGTCACAGCTCATTTCCCTAACTTCCATTTCTTTTTTTTTTTCTGGAAGCAATTTGTCATCC